ATAAATTAATTACATTATTCACCAAGAAGATGAATGAATTAATTTATTAGAAATATTCTCAATTGCCTTCATTGTTGCCATCGTACATGCTTCAGTAATACTGTTGAGTGTTTGAGAAGTAATAATCGAGTTTGTTGATGAAAGTAGCGGATAATTTTTAATATCATGACTATCAGGTACTGGTGTTGAATGATGTATACTAGTGGAAGAATATGAATACCGATCAATTGCTGTTTGTATACGTTTTTGTTCATTTATGTACTTTGGACAATCATGAGAAGTTGCTTCATGTGAACCTTGACAATTGGAACATTTAGGTGGTAATTGTTTTTGATCACAAACGTTATATCGATGAGGACCAGCACAATAAGAACATATTAGTTGTTGTTGTTTACAATATTTAGCTATATGTCCGAATCGATAACATGAATGACATTGTTGTGGATTAATTTTTTGTTTTGCTTTTTCTGCAGGAAAATGCATATGATCAATTTGTAGACCTAATTTGATAAATGCATCTCGATTCTTAACATCATCAAAAGTAATTTTAATAGTTGTTCCTGTACCGGTTTTTTCTTTGTTCATTAATCTCTCTACTTGATTCACCTGATAACCATTATATGTTAAAGCATTTTGAATTTCTTGAATCGATATTTCTTTATGCACACTTTTAACAAATGCTTCTTTATCAGTTTTTTGAATTCGTTGTATTGATCGAGGAATAAAAATTTTTGCAGTATCAGATAATTCATTCAACGATAATCGAGTAAGTAATGCATTATACGAAGCTATAGTTGAAGGATAAATTGTAAAATTTTTTCTTTTATCATTATACATAATGTTGTTACATTTTAATTCAGGAATTTTCTTTACTAAAAAATTGTTTAATGCAACACGAGAAAGACTAACACCTTCTAAAATTAATGGAGGAAGCTCATAACCTTGTTTCATCGTTTGTTGATGAGAAGTTACAACAGTAGGCGATGGTTGTTTGTTAGTTGTTGGTAATGGTTTAGAAGAATTTTTATTTTTTGTTAGTGTTGACTGTTCAAGTTCATTATAACATTCAATAGTCGAATCTTCATAATGTCCAATCAGTTCAACATTTTTAATTAATTTTTGATCGTCCATATTGATCAAAATCAATCAAATTTAAGTACAAAATCTACACGTGTGACAACACGTGACCAAATAAATGTACTTGTTATGTAATCGATATAATGGAAAGAGATTTTTATTCTAATTAAATAAAATTAATTATGTTTAATATTTTCTTGATTTGCACTTGATTGACCTTTTAGTGCAAACGAGAGAAGAAAAGAAGTAATATATACGTCTAATCGGTAGGGCGTCAGAAAGAGGAATGTA